CCGCATGCGGCATCTCCTCACTCTCTTCAGCCGGATAAAGTGCTAATGTTGATGAATCCGCCTGCATCTCGGACAGGAGTGACTGATGTGAATCATCTTGGACGTTGATGTTGGTCGTGTTATTGAGTTCCTGAACTGACCCTTCCACGTCAGCAGGATCAACCGTGTTGGGACATCGCACGGTGCTAGACGAACGGACGTGCAGAAACAGTAAAAAACACGAAATATATCAAATTAGATAACCTTTAATAGCAGCATTGGCTACCTGTTTTATTCTCTGAACTTCAACAAGAGGGTGAACAAAATCTGAAAATGTTGAACGGAAGAATTTGACTATTTGTTCTCATGTCTGAGTACGTGAATGCCCGATCCGCAAATAAAGAGAAGGGTAGGTGGTGAGGCACTGATGAGTTTCGCTTCGATTCAATCCTTAGGCTCGCCTGGTGGACCCCGATGGGAGACCGTCTGCATCGTGCTTAGGTGCACGGGTTTGTTTTTGGTGCCTGGTGTAACATTTACTTACCGAATGTAAATAAGCCGGAAACAGTTCTGTAACAATTTGCCTCCAAACTCTGTCACCTTTCTCTGCTATTGCAGCAACTATATATTATTTAAGAGGTTGTGTACCTCCATGTTGGGTACTCTAGATGGCTAACGCTCCTTCGGCCTCGATCCTAGCTTTTGATGTGTCAACATACATTTCTGCAAAAAGGCATCCTGCCAGAATTTTCAGGAAGTTGGTATGGGCATGCGAAACTTAACATATATTAGTTTTGAACGGACGCGCTATTTGGGTAGGCTAGGACCTGTGAGTCCAACAAGCCTAAAGACGGTATATATTTTGACTTTTTTTCGATGGGCTATACAGGCTGATTCCTTTAAACAAACTGGTGGAGTCCGTAGGATACTAAGACCGCAAGTTAGATGGCCCGAACTATAATCGAGACAAACCGACTTTTTACATTAAAAATGGTTATTCAGGCGGGTGAGGAACTTCAGTGACAGGCTTCGAGTGCCTAATGAGAGCTTCACACATTTTCTTCTACCCCCTCCCCCTGATGGAATACAAATTTGTTTTTTCGGCAACAGTGGCTTATGTAGTCCCTTTCATTAATCCCTACAACCTGCATGTCTTTCTACGAAAACGATGTTTATCGGATTTTAGGGGCAGATAATTAGGACACGCAGTGGAATATACTTTAACAAATGCTAAATGCATTTTTATTTTACTGTTTTTAGAAGTGTTGTTGACTTATATCTGTGAATTTACCTAATCTGTATTATCATCTAACTTAGTGTGGAAAAACCTGGTTATCAAATTGCAGGCTTCTTGAATTTCCCGAAAGATTGAAATGGTGGTTAGGAGGTCGTCTACTTCAACTTACCTGTGGTCCAACCTATGTGCTGGAGTAAGATTAGTATAGTCCGCGGCGCGAAGCATCGCGCACACCTTCAATTTACATGCGAATCAACCTGTTCCCAGCGGCCGCGGGAAGCAATTTCGTCCAAAATTTTTCACTTCACACTTACTTCTAAAAATGTCCTTCTCTGCCTATCCTATTTCCCCACCCGCAAAACTCTATAACCAACGTTTTTGCAGGACAAAATGCTGGGACTAGGGGGTATATGAGTGGAGCTATATAAGCTACTTTTGCCGTTTTTCTTTAGTATTCTTATCCTTCAAATGCTTATTTTTTCGACTGAATTCAGGTATAGTTGTGTAGTCATAGTACAAACCTGTAGGATGCCAAATTAGGCGAACGAATGTTTTCGATTAATTCATCATCAGGTAAATACAATAATATAAGGGGAGGGTAGAGTTAACAACACGTTATGCAAGCGATCAGTAGTAATTAGGAGGAGGGGGAGAGGTGTCAGGAGATCAAAGCGGGTGTCAGATTCTAGTCATAATTAGGGACCAGTGAGGGGAAAAGGGGGAGGGGGTCCAACAATTAGTTAATGTGGCCCCGTCGCCCTTGTCTCCCGTTTTGTTGGTAGGCCTGAAGACGCAAGTTGTCATCGCCTCGTGACGGCGTGAATAGCCTGGGGTGCTTGCTGTCGCTATCTCGTCGCCGTTTCGCGACCTGGGGATACTTGCTGTCGCTGTCTCCTCACGGCCTCGCGGCGGGGTACGAAGCCTGTTGACGGATGTTGAACTGGTATTCGGCCACTGGAGCCTTAGGGCCGCTAAAAACGCCTTCTGCGCACATAAGATCGGGCAAGTGAGGCGTATGGCGACTGCCTCTGCCGTCGCAGGTATTAGCTGACGCAGGAACTTGGAATGTTTCTCCGGTAATTTATACATCACTCGAAACGCTTGGTTTACGTCAGCCCGATGACCGCTATCAACTCAATGAGCCAAAATTGCGCTAGATATCGACTTTACCTCACCCCTGTTTAGCTAAGCAGAATGGTGATCTTGCATGCGCTTAGAAAGCCACCTAGTTGTTTGAACAATATAACCTGCCCCACAGGAGCACGTAAAAGTATGCATGCACGTTAAAGAGGTCTGTTGATGATGATGAATAAAGCGAAAGCGTCCGTTCGGCTAACTTGACTTCGTATCATCGCTGAATAAAAACTTTACATTGCCATTCATATTTTGTCTAAAATTTTTAGAAACAGCAACTCATGTGTACAACAGTCATCCATGGATCTTCGAGCCAGTGGGACGTCCGGTGAATAATAACGTAGAAGAAGGAGTAATTCTCAGTGCCAGGTATAAGGTTTTACTTTTTACTTCACGAAACGGCACTAATTTCAGCGTGTTTCGGATTAGTAAAACCACAGGCAGGTTTGAAACGAATCACTTCCCTGACTCTAAATTGTTAAGTTTGTCCGGGTTTTTGTAAGCCCTGTTAATTTTATTGGAAGTGAAGTGATTCTTTAGGAGACAAAACGCCTTATATGACTTCGCATGCATTCATAGAAGGAAAACAAGGCATCTTCAAAGGCCAGGCGCGCTTAACGAGCAGCTATTAAACGGTATTAGAAATCTCTCTGACTAAGGTGTTACGTTTTACTGAGGAAGTATTTTGTTTATACAAAGAGACGGATAAATCTGGAGACTCATTGAACTAGGTCTTTTAGGTAGTGAAAGTTGGAGCATTGCTGATAACATATCAGAGAGGTGGCATACCATCCCGAGTTCCTGAGGTCTTCAGACGCAACGCGACCAGTGTGACCAGCTGCATAGTAATCCCAGGCATCCATAAAGGTCCGACAATTACCGGAGGCTTTCATGTGCAATGGCATTAGAAAGGCGTCCTTGGTACCCTCAAATTTCCGCCGAAATGCTGTCCAAAGAAGGCTGAAATGTGATTACATTGTTTTAGACAATATCCACATTAGGCTTTTGAAAGTTCAGTAAAGAAAATATCCACAGCAGAATGGCCTCTTTTACTTTGCTACTGATAAGCATTCCAAGGCATCCGGCATCTACGTTTCCTTCTCTATGATCAGATATAACCTTCACTGTCGCGTCTTTTAACGCAAAAACAGCGGTGAAGGGAGTCCCATGGTTTCGGTTTTGCCATGCAGTTCACCCGAGCATGTTTGCAAGTGGACACGAAGTTACTAATAAGTGGACTAGACACCCTGAAGGGAATTTCTTTTCCATTTACGGATTCCTACCTTATTTGTCGAGTTTGAGGAAAACAGGATATACCAGCCACCAAAGCGCACTGAGGAAGCTGGACGGCATAGGTCCGAGTCAATTTTGTTAAATTCCATCGGCCATCAACTTAACAACTAACACTGGAGTCAGTGCTCAAAATATAGCGAACTGATGCAATCTATAACAAGCTGTAGAAGTATATCATTCTTAAAAAGTTATGAGATAAATAAGGGTATCTTTGGTACTTGGGAAAGGGACCCTGAATACTTTGAGCGGTGGGCGGTTGGAATTCTATACACCAGTGCATACAATTTATTCATCTGTCCCTCTATTGAGTTCAGATCTGTCAGATTTTTTGATTGCTTAGACACTACCTATACGTTCTCCAAAACTACCTAATCGTCAGGGTCTCCTCATAGTTCGCCTAACAGGAGGGCTGTATACCATTACTTAAACGTCAGAAGTTGATCCAGGGCGTTTTCCGATTGTGACCCACCTTCAGTACTGACATCCTTAGACATCATTACTGACGAAGTATCTTCTTTCTGGTACCTTGGTGTTACTCCGACACCCAATCTTTCTTTTTTCCTTCATATTGAAACCCTTTTCATTAATGGTCGCTTATTATATACATCGGTTACGTTCCCATCGCACATCTC